GAGGGGATACACATATCACTAGTGATATGTGTGCGGGGATACACATATCACGGGGATACACATATCACTGTGACACCGGTGGGTGTAGAGTGGAGCACACATGATTCTTGAGCAGCGGTACGTCACTTAATACGTCGTGTAAAGTAACGGGTTGATAACCCATATTCTCGACACTGCCTTTAAGGGTAGTAAAAGCTTTATTTTGATACAAAATAAATAGATCAATAAATTGATAATAGCCAAAAGGCTTTCCCGTTTACACGACGGATCCCATACGAGACCAACCTAGAACAAATATACAGACGTGTCCAGCGAGTCTTAATAAGTGTAACTTTCCACAATCTAAAATGAGTCACATTGGGCCAAATTGCTGACATTGACTCCTCCCAGGATTTTCGATCATTATGATTTGATGTATACACTGTGCACATACCATTCAACTCATAAGTGTACTTGATTTACTTACATCTAATCGATTCTTAACACTCTATTCAAGTGTGCAAACGTATGATTACTAATGAAAAATTCAGAAGGTTTTGGTTTCTTTACAATTTAAAAAGATGCGTACATCATAAAACACCGTTCAGAACGACAAATAAAGAAAATTATGTTTGTTAACATAATCGCATTAGCCAAGATACAGTGTACGGCAATAAACATTAAACAGGCTTTATACAATTGAGATTCAAGCCCGAGATCACGGGCAAACAATTTAGTTTGCGAGATTTTCGGCAAAGTCGACGTCCAGGCAGCTTCCGTGAAAATATCATCACAGTGGCGACAGTTCTCGCATCCTAGCCAATCCTCACCATCGTCGTCATTGCAAACTTTTCAGACGTTCGTATTTCTCGAATGATCGCATAAAATGAAGTAAAATAACGAATTTCAGGTTCACGGTTGAATGAATGGGAACATTTTACTGAACATTTGGGGCAAAACAAACAAACGATATATGAGGACGAACAGTTTCAGTCCTAGTTCTAGGAAACGCCCAGTTTAATTTTCAAAGAATTTTGCGTTTCGAAGTTAACATTTTTATTTTCTTAAATCTCTGCTGTAGTTGAGGTATCGTAACACATCTAATTATGACGAAACTCAGATTATAATAGGCTGTAATTACATGAGAAGTCAGTGCGTTGCCGAGTTGACTCTTGTTCGCGAGCGTGCTATCACCAAAAGTCACAAATATAAATACCGCTACTGTAGTCACGCCATCGTAGTCAGCTGGGAATCCGCGAACCTGATTGGTCCTCTGATCGTTGTTTATCCGNAACATCCAACTTTTCACTGCAGCCAGAAAGAACATACAATGCAAAAGGTAGCCAGTGTAAAAGGGCCGAGGAAAACAGAAAGGAAAGGGCCAACAAACGAAATTGAGAACCGTTAATGGCAAAAAAAAACAAGCGATATATGAGGACAAACAGTTTCAGTCCCAGTTCCTCGGAGACGGCTAGTTTTTTTTCCAAGAATTTTGCATTTCGAAGTTAACATTTTTATTTTCTTAAATCTCTGCTGTAGTTGAAGTATCGTAACACATCTAATTATGACGAAACTCAGATTATAATAGCCTAATAATTACAGAGTCGAGCCAACTCATGAGAAGTCAATGCGTTGCCGAGTTGACTCTTGTTCGCGAGCGTGCCATAACCAAAAGTTACAAATATAAATACAACTACTGTAGTCACGCCATCGTAGCCTTTTGCGAATCCGCGAACTTAAGTGGTTCTCTGATCGTTGTTTATCCGCTATTAGTAGAATTCCAGTTGAACACTAATGCAAATGCTGACATTTGATTAGCCACGTGATCGTACAATATATATCAGCCATTAGTGTGCAGTGGCTGGAGGTCGTCAGAGATAGTCTTCTCCAAAGTTTTGAAGGGACATTTTCAAACAGATGGATAATCAAATTCCTGAGAAGACCAAAAGGAGGGCATTTAGCGCGCGCACACAACTACAAATGTCAAATTGACAATTCAACCCGCGCGAATGCGACGATTAATTCGGCCTTCGGCCTCATCAACTATCACCTCAGAAATCTCGAGCTCATAATCTAATTGTTAATGAAATAGAACTCAGTCGAGCACCTGCGTTGCCTCCAAAGGGAAATTATTCTTACTTTGGCATAAAAATAACTAAAACTGTTTTTTTTTTTTTTTTTTTTTGGATTGTTGCCCTTTGCATTGTTTTCATATTACGTCAAACCACGTGCTCGGAGCTGAAAAGTGACTATTTGGGATCCGCCATTTTGTCCGCTAGGGTTGTTATGAAGTACTCGTTTAAAAAAAGAACTTACAAGACAATGTTGCGATAAGTGTCCACGAAAACAATGATACCACTCTCCTTCGTTTTCTCTGAGCGATAATCAACTGGGCTACGCCACTTGAATAAAAGAAAACTCGACCGCGCGGTATCTGTTCAACAGTGTTCCTGTCGAGGGTATGTGGACCGAGAGTTCCCCATCGAAAAGTTTTGTTACAAAGAAAACTTTGAAATTCTCGAAGAACCAGGAAAGGATAATTTTGCCGTCGTCCGAGATTAATTAAATCAAGCGTTAAAATTGTGTCGTGCTGTGGATTTACATTTAACAAGGAACATCATGAAACTATGGTGCTTCTACTGATATGTATTTCGTTTCCACTGGCAAATACTGTAATCTGATTGGCCATGCTACTCACTACAACTTTTCCATGCTAGGGAAACGTTAAAGGGGATCTTAGAGCTAAGAAGCAGTTTTGTTCCAAATCACAAGTTTGTGCTTATGTTAAACTGTTTCAGCGATTTGAATTCTTAGCCTGTTTTGAATGCTGGGCGTTTCACGACTTTTGCTTCTGCTATTTAATGATTTCAAGTTCCCCTCGCGCCGCCATGTTTATTTTTGCAAAGCTTGACGGGAACTTATGATGTAATTAAGCAGTTGGAAGTTTTTAAAATACAGCATTGCATGAATCTAGAGAATTAAAAGTTCTTGTAATTGTTTATACTTCATAATCCATATGTACAGTTCCAACGAGAAATCTTCTTAGACTCCATATTGAGATCTGACAGCCAGCGCAATGACGTCATAAATTATCATAAAGTAAACATGACGTCGCCCAGGTGATTTAAACTGGAAACGAAATACTTCGTATTCCAACCACTTACAGAGATATCACCTTAAAACAGTTAATCTTAGGATCAGTTAAAGGTTACCTTTCGGTATACTTTCGGAACTGAATCTGCTTTTCAGCCAAGATTCCTTTTAAGCATTGTACACTAAATTAATACTTCTCCTGTCACCGGTCCGCTCACAGATCTTACCTTTCTTTTGAGGCTGGTTTTCACTAGCGACGGAATCTTAGTCGGAGTCGTAATCGAAGCTTAGAGCGATAAGATCGAGTGAAAACTAGATTGTCGGAGTCGGAAGCAGGCTGAAGAATAAACCAATCATAATGCTCGATTTCGGGCCTTGTGTTTGGTTAGTTCTTCCACTTCTGCTTCCGACTCCGACAATCTAGTTTCCACTGGAACATAAACGACGGAGTCGTAAACGGAATCGAAAGAAATGGAAACGTTCTGATTCTTCCGACTCCGATTCCGTCGAGTTTATGGCTCCGCCTAAGACTCCGCTTAAGGCTTTAAAAGATTTGCGATTTTCACTAGGTGGTAAGTGCTCTTAGGACTCCGACTACGACTCCGACACCAACTCTGTCGCCAGTAAAAACCAGCCTTTAAAAATCGTCAAGGAAAAAAACGAAGGGAGATAACGAACCGACACCCTGGTGCGCATTGTATATATGTAAATTGTGGTGTAATACATTCATTACAAATCAATTTACGCATCAACTTGGCAGGCTTGTAACGACCATATACCCACTTACGCAAGCGCGAACGAACCTCTGGCATTCCGAGGGAAACTAAAACTTTTCAAACAGCGTGTGTGATTGAATTGGCTGGTTTAACAGTGCATGTTATTCACATTTCGTTGCGTGATTTAATTTTACATTAGAGAATATATGAAAAACTCTTTGCGAATATCAAAAACGCTATTCAATGCAAAAATCAAGTTCAAACCCTACGTTTTACACTACTGACGACGCATGGTAACTTTGAGGATTCATACTAAGTCAGTGGCGATACGTGCAACTATTATGGAAGAGACTGTAGGTCGCCAGAGACCAGTTTTGATAATAAGATCACAAGAAGAGAGCACTAATGCAACGTTAGAGAGATTGAAAAGCCCTAGATTGTTATCAAAGGGACGAGCCTCCAGTTTTAACCAAGAGTATTTGCTACTCTGATAACTTTACCGACATATCCTGCGTCCAACTGCGTTGTTGAAAGTAACTTTAGCGAAATGAAGGACTATAAGTGTCGAGAGGTCCTCACCGGCAAATCTCGATATACAAAACAAGTAAGGGTGTGGAAACGGACAATTTGGTTGTAGAAGTTGCCCGTCTCAAGGGGAACATCTCGCCCTTTGGTTGCAAACATTTTAAAAACCGTCTGATCTTTTAAAAACTCCTGTTAATTATCTAAAGGTTAAAATAAAAGCAAAATAAGTATCTAACGAATCAACCTTTTGCCACGTTTTGATTTAGGAATATCCCCCTGATCGATGGAAAACGCAAGGATTGACATTTCCAAGCGTCTAGATAAAGAAATATCGACTTCGCTCAATCCATCCCAAAGAGAATAAATCACTAGATCTGATACAGATTGTTGCCGATCAGTCAGTCAGTCCTTGGAACCCTCAAGTATCGAAAGTGGGATCTTCTTAATTGTGCAGCATCCCTGAATCAGCTCTTCTATCTCAAGGAATTTTTTATCAAGGCTCTCGTTCTTTGACTTCAGAGAAAGATGTTGAAGATGTGCTTCATTCTTAAGGTATTTTATTTCCTCTAACATGTCATCTGTGGTTTTCTTTGTCTTCTTACCAAGATCCTCCAGTTCCCGTCTAATCATCCTCAAAAGATCGACAATGATGGGTACTTCTCTTTTTCTTTCTTTTTCTTCTTTTTCGGCGGCTTGGTACTCCCACATCGCTATAACTTCGCTGTGAAGCTCTTGCGCAGTCTCGCAGTGACATTCCATTGGTCTTTCGTCCTGCAGCACTTCGAGTGGCAGGACATTGCGCGGTTTCTTCGGTCTCTCCTCAAAAAACATTTTTTTTAGTCGCTTGAAAGAGGAACCTAGTTCACGTTCCAGTGCCTCTGATTCTTTTTCAGCGTTTTGCAGATGAATCCATATTTCATGCACTTCCTTCTTAAATGTGTTGCAGTCAGCGTCGACAGTTTCCTTCATCTCCTTTATGTCATTTAAAGCCATCGCGATAACCAGTTGCTCAAGTTGAAGATCGCTGCTACGTGAGCCTTTTTCCTTTGTGATTGGGCGGAAAATCTGCTGTTCATCCGTGATCTCTCTACTGGGACGCATCTAAATAGACAGACTATGATTTAAAAATTGACAAAGTTAACGGAACCTACCGTATTTACTCAAATTTGAAATTATTATAGCTAAAAAAAATTACACTGTTTCTCTGTTAGTGTTTTACGAGATGTTCTGTTGTTGTGCTGTGTATATTAACAATAATTCCAAGAGCGCGCGTTGGATATGAAATGGTAGAAGAGATATTCCTTGATGTCAGTTATATATGTCCCGTAACGGAGTTTGACTTATTAAATCCTTTTACTTGAAATTTGGTCAGTACTTGACTAGCGCCTCGTGATCAGCAGAGACGTAATTCGTTTGTTTTGTAGAGCAGTTGTAACGTTTAACTATTTATTTTGAAGTCAGTGTTCTCAGTAAATTTGCATTTTGTACTCTTCTAGTCTTCAACTGAGTAAAATACTACGATTACTCCTGTAACAAGTGCCCTAATTAGGAAGCAAGATAGACCTGGCTCGCAGTGCTGTTACGTTAGTGTCCAAGAATTAATCAAATAAACTGTACATACTAAACTGAATTAATCGTACAAACCTTGGCCAACACTCTTATTCCTTGGTGACCCATGCCTATGTAAGGGTACATTAGTTTCCCGCCCGGAGTGTAGTCTATCCATATCTCATCTTCCGTGATTCGTCTTCCATTCAGTGTGAACGCCACAGGCACTTTACCGTTCGTGATCCTCTCGAACTTGATAGTACAGCCGATCAGGTCGCCACGATAAGCCATGGCATCTATATTGAAACGCGATCCGAGCAAAAGCAAAGCAAACAAGTAAATAAACACACTATCCATTTTTAATTCTGTTGGATATCATTATTTATACCATGCCATAGAAAATAAAGCTAATCAATACGGAAGAGCTGTTGTATATTTCGACATTATTAAATTCTCAACATCGGATAGTGCAATTCTAGCTTTCTGATTGGTTCACTGGACCTCGGTTACCAGCCACCATACCTGCGGTTGACCTTATATGGAAATGAATGCGGTAAATGTCGCTCGGCATAAACTTTTTCGCGGGAAGCCAAGTTTCGTCGACAAAAAAATGGATCAAAAAAGCAGATTCAGATTTTACCCATTCATAGAGATTACATAACAACAACAATGTTTACGTTAATGTTACAGAATAGCTTTCAGTGCTGGTGGCACCAAATTTTCAAAATCGGCAGAAGAAATGTCAAAAGAAGAACTGAATGTTTCTCTGAAGTATTTTTACACGTCTTTGAGGAAGAAAGATGGTAACTATTACAAAAGTTTATCACTAAAATCCACAAGAGCCGCGACTGATCGTTTCCCTCGCTCGCCGCCGCACAACAAACCGTTTTGCGCTGTCGCTGACCCCGCTTTTACTGAGGCAAATAAAGTACTAGAGCAATCGTAAAAGACCTCAGGAAGACAAGAAACATTGCCGGCGCAGTTTATAAGAAGTCAATTTCCAATGAGCAGATGAAGAAACTGTTCGACATCGCCGAGCTCGAACCGGCCGAGAGCAAAAATCCCGCACAGCTACAGAGGACGACCTAGTTTTTTT